TTATGTATTATGTAGCCCAACTGCCTAAGTAGAGAAAAAAGTCTAAGTATAACATAATGAGCTTGTGAAAGGAAATTTCCAATGTTATTACTTACTAACAACATCATAGATTGGATGGAATCGACATATGGTTATGAGATTAGGGCTCATCTCTTTTGATTTTTATTTCTCTTAAAACATAAAGGTAAACATGTAAGTAGGTTGGGTTGGTTCGATTAATCAGTGGTTTGAGGCTTCAAACCATAACTGAACCAACCCACTATGATTTTGTAAAAACTAAATAAATAAAAGAAAAAAAAAAATCAAAACAAACCAAGTACCAGTGTCAAACCAAGTACCCTGTTTCGAGTTTACAACTCAATGAAGGTGGCAACAAAATGGGATCCCGTAGGCTAGAAAACATTAGATGCATTAAAGCAAGTAAATGGCTGACCCATACTCAACCAATGAACAAATGCTGCTCCAATGATATCTATCCTTGAGGTAGAACTTGAAAAGGCTCTATTCAGAATGAATGAACTTCAGCAGGTTCAATTCAGAAACTTTTTATTTTTTCAACCATTTTTATTTAGCTACTTCGACCATGTATTCGATTTCACATTTTTAGAACAATTTTTTGTGGAATCTCTTCTGATTTTTGAGATGTATCAATGCTTATGGGTTCTCTGGATGTGTCATCAAGAAATGGAGAAGAAATAGAGGAAGAAAAGGCATTGAAGTTCAAAGAGCGGATATTCGTTATCTAAGCTAAATATGTTCCTAAAAAGCTACGCTATTTTGTTTTGAAATGTTGTCGGATCTATCTGTTGTGACGATTCCCTGTCTTCACATAACTAAAGTGAAAGAATTGATCATTGGCTTTACTCATATATCAAATCTGTTCTTAATACCGTGTTTTCTTTATAAAAGTCTTAGTTTCCATTTAGGTACAATCCTTCGCGTAGGAAATTTCCTGTGATTTGTTCTGCTGAAGCGGCTCTCAACCTTGAATGGTTCTGTGAAATTCCTTTTCCCAATTCTAAAGAATTCATGCTTAGTTTTCCCTCTCAGGCATGTGAAAGATAGGTGGAGATTGTTGAGTTTCGAACCTGTGACTCGCCTATAAAATGTGCTTCCAACAATTATGCTTAAGTCGTGTTTCTGGAATTGACACGTACACTAATTAAAGTCATTAGCTGGATGGTTGACACTTGGCTTTCCTATCACCGTTGGATATGGTTCTTTTGTATATCTTCCAAGAGACGTTTTTGGCAATTGGCAATCAGTTCACTTTTCTGGCTTTTGGTTCTCACGTTTGTTCTCTTCCTTTAGAGAGAAAACCTCATTCTTACATAGGGTTTACATTATTGAGTGTTTGAATCGTGTAAACTGTATACTCTCTTAGATCTACTTCTGATTGTTGTGAAGTAAAGGTTCTTTGAGTGATTTGTATACTGAATCTTTTGTGATTCGAGTGGATTGTAAGGTGTTAGGCAAAATTGTGTGATCTGGCCTATTTTGTGCCTTAAGGGTGTGTTCGATCCAAAGCCTCGTGTAAAGATAAGTCTTTGTGGCTTTGTCTTGTATTTTTGAACTGTTTGTAATCGTTGGTTGCCATATTTTTGGCTGTTTAGTGCAACCAAGCAATATCCATTGTTTGGATGGTCAACGGGGGATGTATGCGTTAGATCTGGTCGTCGAACCTCCGAGACTTAGGCCAAAATATATCTTGTGTTCAATTTTTTAATTTCTGCAACTTTAATTTCTATTTTGAGATTGATTCTTTTAGATACTGTTTTAATATCGTGTGACTCGGGCCTTTTCAAGGTGTTATGACCTTGTCGATATGACATTCTTTATCATGAATTTTTGAGACTTTTAGAGCAAATTCTTTATCAGGCATATGCAGAGAGTGTTGGAGAGTCGCAAGCCCTTAGAACAGCTATGGAGAAATTTTGAGGTTACTTACTTATTGTACATGAAGTGTGTAATTTTTATTTTCACATATTTTGCTTTCCCAAACAATAATGGTGGCCAATCTCTCTTTGTTAAAGATTTCTAAATTTGGTAATAGTGACTGTTGATAGTGAGTCGTCCCATCGACCATTAAGATAAGAAATAAGGATATACGTTAAAAACATGAGGATATATATTAAAGAAGACAAAATGACTTAAGTGATTGAGTCACGTTTTACAAAAAATTTAAAGTGGCTGCAGCTCATATGAATTCACAGATATGATAGAATTGCCAGAAAAATGGAAGGATTATGCTACAAGTACATTGAAGTGTACATAATGGTATACATAATGGTCAAGTGGCTTTTCATCATTGGGGGTGGAAAAAGTTGTTTGTCCATTAGCCAACAAGAAAAAGCCACTTGGTCATTATGGATACCCTAATGTACATGTAGAATTATCCAAAATGGAAAGAGTAACACAACACAACGGACGTAGTTATTGATAGTTTTTAAGGATCCAAGTACTTTAGATACTTGTGAAAATGTAGAATTAAGATAACGTAATGTTGAAAAATATTTATATATTCGTGTAACGTCTCAATATTCTATTTGTTTTATATGCTATATTTTAATATATATTTTTTTTAAAGATGAGGATTAAAATGAAATAGGTTTTAAAAATCAATTTTATCTTTGAGCCAAATAATTATGTATCGATAGAATGATAAATGTTGATTTTGTTAATAATTATCTTTTGTGATTTAGAAAGAATTTGATTGCAATCTTAATTTGATAAAGTTTAAAAGTAATCTGTAATCATAATTCTATCAATTCTTATCCAATTTGCTAGAGACGATTTTCCATCTCAATTGTACCTAGACGAGACCACTATATTTTTTTACTATAAATAGTGTGCAATTGTCCTACAATTTACCATCAAAGAATTTTACACGACAGCTTTCATATAAAGCAACTATAAATTTCTAGTATTTTTTTTTTTTCAAAAAACTCGTTTGATCAATTAAAATAAGATACTTTTATTCAAGTTGTTTGTTTCCTTATACTTTTATACTCAATAATTTATGCACGAATTGCTAGTAGACCTTCGGATTCTTTATTAAAATATATGAGATCCTACAGGAATTTAAGATGACCTAAAATGGGTGTACCGCTTGGTCACCAATATACTCCATAAGAGAAAAGTGGTATAAAGTGTTTATTTTATTACGTATAATAGTGTGTGGAAACTGCACATATTTTACTGGGTATTTTTAAAGACTCACACTTTCAAAATTTGACAGGCTAGTTCAGGTCATTTGGAACAATGACGAAATGGTGAATGCGACTGTCAAGAAATCGAAAAGATAAAACATTAAGTTTATTTATTTTTAAATTATTAGTCAGTTTAATTTGTTCAAAGACATATATTTAAATTGTGATTATGTTTTCATTATGAATATTCAAGTAATTTTTTAAAAAAACATTATTTTATCGTTTTACAAAGAAATTGAATTTTTGGTAACACTCCAGTGTTTGTAAAATTTTGGGGCGTTACATTTGATTTCAAATTCAAATTTATTAAGAAAAAAAGACCTCTAAATAATGAGATATCCGTAACTTGTCATTACTTACGACCCCGGATAATTTAAGATTCTGTAATATGTAATTTGCCTGTCAGGACTCCCGATGAGATTACCTTAAGATATGTTGCTAAAACAAATTGTGATTATGTTTTCATTATGAATATTCAAGTAATTTTTTAAAAAAACATTATTTTATCGTTTTACAAAGAAATTAAATTTTTGGTAACACTCCAGTGTTTGTGAAATTTTGGGGCGTTACATTCGATTTCAAATTCAAATTTATTAAGAAAAAAAGACCTCTAAATAATGAGATATCCGTAACTTGTCATTACTTACGACCCCGGATAATTTAAGATTCTGTAATATGTAATTTGCCAGTCAGGACTCCCGATGAGAAGACCTTAAGATATGTTGCTAAAACAAATGGTGGAGAGAATTCAATGACCATTTATGGTATTGAGCGATCTATTTGTTAGAAACTAAAAAACATTTTATGCTTATTTATAGAGGTGAAAAGGGGTTTTTTTTTTTTTTTGATCTATTTGTTAAAAACTAAAGAACATTTTATGCTTATTTATAGAGGTGAAAAGGGTTCGATATGGGACTTTTTTTTTTTGATCTATTTTCAAATCAAAATATTTAAAACGGTTCGAACAAATATAAAACCAAACTAACTGCTTATATTCAAATCAAAACATTTTTTGTCGATTTGGTTTAGTTTTAGACTACCGTTTGCCTAACTGCAGTTGAATTTTTATTTTAAAAATAAATTGAAATGGAATTATTCTTTGATTCCATGTTAGTTTACTATTTGATTCTATTTATTACTAAAAATTTTAAGACATTTATTTATGTTAGTTTAATATTCGATCCCAAAAATCGATTTATCGATTCGATTCAACTGATCCCGACAACATTCCTAACATCGTTACAATTTCTTTTCTTCCCATATAAAGTGACTCACCTTATCTATAAGAAGGAAACACGGCCGTCTCTTTTGACATAAAGGTTCTAACAAAATAAATCCTTGTTTGATAGAAATTAAAATCAAAGTCAACTATTAATTTTAGCCACATATTGCATTTGATCCACAACTTTTCAATCACACATTTTATCTATTTATGAAAATTCACTAAAATCCGATTTTAATCCCAACCAGCGAAAACTTTAAATTCCGACTGTCTCACTCGGCGTCAACTACAAGTTCATTAACCCCAAAAATAAATTCCTCCTTAAACTTCAAATAAATATTATCTTCAACATTTACGAAGAAGTACCTTTATTAAGCTTCATGAATTCGACTTGTACTCGAGTGAACGTGTCAAAGACATACACTATGACTAACGCTAATGGTACGTACCTAGAGAAGTAATAATTATTCGAGACAACTCAATATATATATATATTGTCTCAAAAGCCACCCCAATCACGTGAAGTATCACTGCAGAACAGAAAAAGATATCCAAAAGTATCTGCATCTATGGAATCCAAACAACCGGGCCCCCGATCACCGCTGCTAGCGTCGCCGGACGGATCTTCCTGCAAGGCGGAGAAGCTATGCATAGACGATATGTTGAAAAAATATTGCGGAGAGTTCGGTTTCTGGCAGCTAAGGCACTTCGTGTTAACCAGCTTAGCATGGGCGCTCGAGGGTTTCCACACCATGGTCATGATTTTTGCCGATCGGGAGCCGGCATGGAGGTGCTCCGGCGGTGGTTGCTCCACTGAGGCGAAGAGCGTTTGCCATGTTGAGCCTGGTTCGTGGGATTGGATTGGTGGTTCCGGAAGCTCCACGGTGGCGGAATTTGGGTTGATTTGTGGAGAGAAATACAAGGTCGGATTGGTTCAGGCGTTGTTTTTCGGTGGCTGCATGATTGGTGAGTTATCCGAATTCTATGCTTTTGTGTCTTTTTCCTTTTTCATTCATCTATTACTCACATCAAATTATCACTCGACAAAACTTCACTTTCAATCACGAAAAAGTCAATAATAGAAACTTTATTTTTTATTGCTCTGTCATCTACTAATGTGTTTTCAATGAACTTTAATATCCTATGTACATGAACTGACTTCACAATTAACATTTATTTCTTTGTCTGCCATGTTTAGAATCCAGCACACAAACTCTTACTTGTCCATATCATACCGTCTTTATTAGCCCTCTTTATTTTATTTTATTTATTTTTTAAAAAAAGATAACACCAAGTTTGACCGTTTGCCATTCGCCAGTTTAAAAGAAAAAAACAGTTTCCCCACCACAATGTTTTGAAAATGTAAACCTTGATGTAAAGCAAAAAAATGTACACGTAGCATTACCCTAAAAGAATAAAGAATTTGGCCAAGCAATAATGGTGGCCAATCTCTCTTTCTTAAAGATTTCTAAAATAATCGTTGGTGGTGAGTCGTCCAACCGATCATTAAGATAAGAAATAAGGATATAAGTCATACAATCGAGATTAAAGACGTTGATGAAGGATATATGTTAGAGAAGATAAGATTACTCAAGTGATTGAATCACGTTTTACAAAAAATTAAAGTGGCTGCAGTTCATATGAATTCATAGATATGATAGAATTGCCAGAAAAATGGAAAGAGTAACACAACACAACCAACAGTTAGTGATAGTTGCCAAGGATCTAATTTCTTAGATACTTGTGAAAAATTAGAATGAAGTGAATTAGTGTTGAAAAATATTTATGTATTCGACTTCAAATTTATTAAGAAGAAGAAAAAAAAACTTTATTTTATTGTTGTTGTTCTTTATTTATTTCTGTAGTGAAATTAAGTTTAACTACGAAGTTAAAAAGGGTATTTATATGCTGGTTCATTCTTCAATTTTCCTATTCAAATGAAGTTCCATCAATGTCGGAATTGGCTTGATATGTGACGTTTGTTGTTACTTTGCCAGGTGCTGGAGTATTTGGCCATCTTTCAGACTCTAGTTTGGGAAGAAAAGGTTCTCTGTTGGTGGTTTGTATCTTGAATGCCATATTTGGTTCTCTCACAGCACTCTCTCCAAACTATTGGACCTATGCACTATTTCGTCTTCTAACTGGTTTCAGCACTGGTGGAGTCGGCCTCTGTGCATTTGTACTAGCCACAGAGCCCGTTGGCCCTTCAAAACGTGGTATTGCTGGCATGTCGACTTTCTATTTCTTCTCAGGCGGAATAGCCCTTCTCTCTGGTATAGCTTACGTATTTCAGACATGGAGAGCCCTCTATATTGCATCCTCCATTCCATCCATTCTTTTCCTCGTAATCGTGCTTCCATTTGTGTCTGAATCCCCTAGATGGTGCCTTATTAGAGGGAAGACTGGCCGTGCCATGAAAATTATGCACGAAATTGCTTCATCAAATGGAAAACACCTTCCGGATGGCGTCCTTCTTGCCCTCGATGATGAAGCAAATGAAGTTACAGATAAGATTGAAAGCAATCAAAAAACAGCATTCGAGTCGAAAGAAGTCACAACCGGATCCCTCATAGACGTACTCCGATCACCACTCATGCGTATCCGTTTGTTTCTAGCAGTGGCCATTAACTTCTTGTGTTCTGTTGTGTACTATGGCCTTAGTTTAAATGTTGTCAACCTAAATACTAACCTTTACCTCAATGTCCTCCTCAATGCAGTAGCAGAAATGCCTGCTTTTCTGTTAACTGCACTCTTACTAGACAAGTTTGGAAGGAAGCCATTAGCCATTGGGACTCTATGGTTCAGCGGAATTTTTTGCATCATCGGGAGTTTGCTAAAATACCAATACGGACTATGGAACGTGGCCCGAATGGTGTGTGGTATTTTGGGGATATTTGGCATGGCCGGAACATATAATTTGCTGTTTATTTACATGGTTGAGCTTTTCCCGACCGTGGTTAGAAATGCAGCACTAGGATGTGGTACTCAGGCAGCACAAATGGGAGCAATATTGGCGCCATTTGTTGTGGTTTTGGGTGGAGGAATTCCCTTTGTGGTGTTTGGGGTATGTGGGATAGCTGGGGGACTTCTGGCCTTCTATCTACCCGAGACTTTAAATAGGCCTTTATATGACACAATGGGAGGAATGGAGGATGGAGAAGGTGCACACGCTATAGTTTAAGGACTATGGAGTTAAATTTTAACATGCTTAAAAGTAGCTTAAAATTAGAGGTTTTTATTATGTCTTTTCTTAAGTTATTATTATTATTATTATTATTATATGCGAGGTTTCTCTCTCCTGCTGTTTTTAATTGTTTTGAATCTCTTTGTATTTGGAGGTGATTAAGCCCTGTTTGGTGGTAATTAAAATCAGATTTTTAGTAGATTTCGATATAAGTTGATGAAATGTATGCTTGAAAATGAGAAGTTGTGAGACCCATGAAACATGTGGTTTAATTTTAATTGTTGACTTTGACTTAAATTAAAATCTTGATTTTAATCGATACCAAACATGGGCTGAATCTTTAGTTTGACAGTTGGATTAATGTTTATTGGGTTTCTCCCCTTCTTCCTTTATGTATTTAAGCAGTAAAGAGCACTCCAAAATATAAAGCATTTTTTTTGGTAGATTTACATGTTAAAAACTCCTCAAATTAAAAAAAATAAAAAAAAATCAAACAAACTACACTCCCCCAATAAATAGATGATTATGCAAATCCCGGTTCGAGCTCAATCATGCTACATGAAATCAGAGTTGACATAATGTCACGTTATATTCTATCAACGAACAGTTTCAAACATGATCAACTTCTCAATTATGGGTGTGTTTGGTACCCATTAAAATTTTCATTCTCATTCTTCTACTCATTTTCAACCACACATTCTTCATTAAAATAATATTTTCTATCACATCAATAACTTTTCCTTCTTTTTCAACCACACATTCTCCATCAATCTACTATTCCAAAATACATTCTTCCAAAATAATATCCATCAAACACTATATCTAGATTTCTTTCAAATCCTTGTGACAAATTAACTTTATCCATTCGAGCTAGGAAGATCCGATCTTAAAAAAGGTAGCGCACATTTTTCCGAAAGTAAGTAAAAGGTTTGGAAATAGAAGCCTATTTCAGCAATAGAGGCATACAGGTTACTCTGTTATGGTTAATCTAAGTTGAGGTAATTGCCAACCAGAAGTGCCAAGACAAGAAAGCTCGACACTACACATGTCGAGATAAGCGTTAGAAGTCAACACAGCCAAACATACATACTCCTATAGGAAAAGCATGAAGAAGCATATTTGTTCAATAATTTACTAATTTAAACTCGAGGTGGTAGTTGTAAAAGGAGAGGAGTTGGGGGATCATCTATTATCTCAATGTTACATACAAAAGTATTCATAATTCATAAATCATCAAATCACTAATTGTCGCATGTATGTCATATAAGACGACTACGGTAATGAACAATGGTAAATAGCATTACTCTTATTAAATAAGCTTATTTTTTTTCATGAATTAAGCTTATTTCTTGATGTGAACAAAAAAATATGGCACAATACATTCAAAACCATAATATTTGTTCTCTAAGATTAAAGATTCAGCCTCAAAGGCATATATGGAGAATAATGTGCCAAAACAACTCCATGTAACAGCATGTTGGAAAAAAGATCATTTGCCGAAAACAACACAATACCAAAAATCCCAACAAAATCTATTATATGGTTACCACAAAAATGTCGCAATTTAACATCTGATCCAGACTCAACAAAAAGAAAGACAGTAATAGATTTAAAATCTGCATCCCATAACATTAACCTAAGCCTTATCAGCTTTAGAAGCAGTAGCAGCAGCTTGACCACGAAGCCGTCCAGTCCTCCTAGCAGCAATAAGACCAACCTTTTGTCCAGGTGGAGCATCACGACGTACAGTACTGGCATGACCAATATGTTGATGGTTACCACCACCGTGGGGATGCTCCACTGGATTCATAGCAACACCACGAACCTTGGGCCAGCAGTTCCTCTTGACTCTGAATTTGTGATAAGCATTTCCAGCTTTCAATAGGGGTTTCTCAGTACGTCCTCCTCCAGCAACCTGGCCGATCATGGCACGGCACCCACTGGGCACAATTTTCTTGGCTCCTGATGGAAGCTTAACCCTGTAGACAATAACAATTCATAAAGCCCCAGAACTATAAATGATTCATTGTGTAGATTCTGCCTTCGTACATATCTTTGTCGTAAAGATTAAAAATAAAGATACTAAATGAGTGCAGAATAATTAAAGATGCAAATCAAACAGGAAAACCCTGACAATTTAGTGTTAATGGTCCACAAAACAATGGACAACAGGTTAAATATTTTTATGCATAGGGAAAAATAACCCATTGATCAGTGCATATAAAAAAATATTGAAGAAATCAGACAATACTAAATCTATGTAGCTAAGCAAAAGTGCATAAAAAAAAATATTGACGAAATCAGACCACCAAATCTATGTAGCTAAGCAAAAATGAGAGAAGTGTCACATTTCATTTAAAAACCATTTTATTGTTACATCTTTCCAGTTGAGAATTGTATAGATTGACAACATCATTTTATTGATTAACTATAATGTCTTCATAACTAGCAGCTACTACTATCAAAAAACATTGCCAGCTACTATTATCGGAAAACATTGCACAAAAATTCTTCATATAAACGGTCTTAACATTAAGGTTATTTTTTCATGCCATTAAACACTTGAACAAAATGGTAGTACTAGAATTACAGTTCCACCCAAAGATCAAAGGTCTTTTAATCAGAACAATTTACTAAAATCGGAAACCTCATCCATTAGCTCAATGAATTATTAGTTCCACTGAACCACACAAATAACTTTACACTAGAATTTCATTTCCATGGAATCAAACAACTGAAACCTAACAAATGCATCTGTATGCACTTGTAAAAGAATTGAATGTGCTCGCATCTCACGACTAACAATTATAATCGCATAATCAAAGTAGATAAAAATTCATGGTCATCAAAAAAGCATTCGAAATATTTAAATCCCTATAACTATTCAAAAGAGCCCATCTGTTTTGTCTAACTTTTTTTTATACAAACTGAGAAAGATAAAAAACAGATATGGACATTAAAATAAAATCAACCCGCCAATTATGAGTAAAAATGACATTATGTGCATAATACGTAAAAAAAAATCCAGGTCATGAAGATAAATTATACCTAGTTGTTCCATTATCTGGGTTGTGCGAAATAACAATGGCGTAATCTCCAGAGGCCCTAGCAAAAACGCCACGATCACCAACATGGTGCTCCACGTTGCAAACGACAGCACCTTCAGGAATAGATCTGAGCGGCAGGACATTCCCAACAACAAGGTTGGCCTTCTTGCCGCAGTAAATGAACTGACCGGTGTAGATTCCTTCAGCGGCGACGAAAAGCTCCTTCTGGTGCTTGTACCGGAAGGGGTGGCGGAAGGTAACACGAGCAAGAGGAGCACCACGGCCTGGGTCATGGATGATTTCAGTCACTACCCCCTTCAGGTAGCCATTGCGTTCGCCGAAGTCGAGTGAACGGAATCGGGCTGGGCCCTTCCGGTGGTGTGTGTGAGACTTGAAAATGGATCCTGCTCCCTTACGCTGTGCCCGGATCACACGACCCATTTGTGTTTGCCTGCGTGTTGAGGAGAGAGGGAGGGGACGGTTGGGAAGTAGAAAGATGCAATTGGAGACATGGATTTTTAGGGTTTTAGAGAAATTTGTTAGGGTTGGGTTGGATATGGGCCTTGTCAAGTTTCTTGTTTACCCAATCTGGATAAGGAAGCCCAATGGACCTATTATTTTGGAATAATTAGGCTCTCAACTGCTTCCCTCCCTTTAAAAATTGGAAAATACGTCATCCACAAATCATCTGAAACATTCCGCAGCAGATTTATACCCCGTTTGAAGCACATTTTTCTCTCAAAAACGTATTTTAAATAGTGATTTGATGAAATATATGAGATTATAAAATAAGCAAAAGTTTTGAATTTGCATGTAATATTATTTTATTAAAAAATGTGTGGTTGAAAATAAGAGAGAAAAATATATTTTTAGAATAATGAGTATCAAACATGGTGTTAATTACAACTGTTTTGCTGAAAAATATGTCGAATACATAATTAACAGAAAGATCAATGAAATGAATCACAACTTTGTACTAAATGAGGCGGGACATGCAGCTCTTTAAATATGTTGTGACCAAACGGGAAGGTGGTGATCGTGTATACGGACAAAGGTGACCGAGGAGAAGGCATGAGGAAAATTAGGAACAACCCTTGATCGCTTTGGCGGCTAGTTTAGTCGAAAGTTGTGAATGTTTTTGCATAGTGACTCATTCTAAAATGTGTACTACTATCACTCTATGTTGTCATTTATTTTTTGATGGGTTATCGTAGATTTGCATATATAATCGAATGTTCTTCATCATGTCGAGTAAGTCATATATTTCCATGTTCATTTTTATTTTCTAATGTATATAATGTCTTCAAACTTGTCAAATGTGTACATATCACTTCTAAAGAGACAAATAGAATATTATACAACACTCAAGACACGTGAGGTCATTCATTGTTCACATATAACAAATAATTTTAATGGGACTAAGTAAATACTACCAACATGCTCATTTCTAATCTTTTTTGTGTCTAAACCCACAAAATTCATGCCGAGTTCTATTCATCAAATTAGTAGTAATTCAAGGTGCAAGAATTTACAATCTTAAAGGAAAAAATGAAAGAACAAGCCACACGAAAAATGGACTATCTTGACATGGTATCATCAAGAAAATTAGAATTTATGCAACTACGTGTAATATTATTATTTCGAAATGCAATAGTATGATGTTTTTTTAAAAAATGATTGGGTCGATTGAAAAATTACAAGCGATGTAATTTAATTTAGTCTCATACATCCCATGTAACACGAGTAATGACATTTTAGTTTTATATCAAAACTTTGACCTTTGTACAAGGTTAATTGGATGGAAGTTGTCCTAAAGACCAATAGCGCCTATTAAGAAGAGTTAGAGATGTTTGTGCCAAAACTTGAAGGTTAGTGACCATTTGTGCAGCAACCTCATAAGATATGGGCCTTTTGAGCTGTACAAGTTTATTATATACAATTTATAATATTTTTCACATGAGCCAATTCCCTTGATAATTTGCTTGTTGCTTGAAGCAATGGATTATATGCTTGATGATCGATAGTTCCTTGGATTAACTGTGAAGAGTTCATCACTTTAGATGTCGATGAACCTTGGTGTTAACATCTTATGGTGTTGTCAAGATGATCATGTCTGGTAATGATGAAAGCTCTTGCACTCGATATACTATGGAGTTTTATCGATGATTCGTGAATAATGTCTCATTCGTTATCACATGGATAAATAGAATACTATGTTAGTAAAAAAAAAGCAAAATTTGAAAATTTATTACTTGAAATTCTAGCGACCCGTGTCTCAATATCTAGTGATTACAAAGACGTAAACTAGAAAAACTTATATATACATTCGTCTTCTTAATCGTCTTAATAAAAACAAATGACGCCTTTATACATTGATGACAATGTTCTTTGTAATTTTTAGTTGGACGTACCGATCCATATCAAAAAGGAAAGAAAAAGAAACCCTAGGAAAGGTAGTTTCCTAATTGCCTAAACCGTACATACCCGCGTGTATGTGTGTATAAATACGTACATACACGTATAAATATATAATGACACACGATAATCTATGTATACAGTATACTCACCCCATCTGTTTACAATTCGAAAATCCGAAATTGAGTTTTAATCCCATCTCCCTCTTTCCCTCCAATCTCCATCCGTTCATTCTGCAAATAGAGCAAAAAAAAAATATTCTTGCAATCTCACTAGCAAATGACTTTTTCAATTTCTTTGGTCACTAACTGAGCCAGTACCAGTTCACACAATTAAATATAAATTCTTGTACACATGAAACGGGGTTATCAGCAATCTTCCCCATCGGGTTCTCATGAACCCCCTCAATCCAAACCCAGATATAACCCTGAAGGTATTTTTCGTTTTCTTTATTTTCTGAAACTAATTTCTCGTTTTGCTCTTTAGTTTAGGTTAAATGGAGTCAAAGGGCTGGAACTAATTTTAAGAAAAGTTTGGATTGCTGAGAATGAAATTAAATCTACGAAAAAGCGAAAAAAAAAATACTTCTTTTTTATTTTAATTTTAGTTTATAATATTGGAGTCTGTAGATTCAACCTTGGGCTTAAATAATAGGAATTCTAATAGTTCAATTGTTAAATTCTCCTTATTCTTCATATTTGGGGTGCGAGGCAGATGTTGAAGATTGCCTGTTGTGAATATATGAGTGCATTTTGTTGTTGATAGGGGATGAACAATTTTTGGAGGATGAGAGCACTAAGATATTTGCACAGAAGGTGGCTGATCATTACAGTGCGAGGACCAATCAGACATTGGAAGAGCGAGAAGCAAGCCCGATTATTCATCTGAAAAAACTCAACAACTGGGTATGTAATCAGATATGATTACCTTATTGATCTTATGACCAAAATAGTTAATGATAATACAGTTAAATTGCTCATAAGAAGTTGTTTTTTTATTGCTTGTCCTGATCATCAGATAAAGAGTGTTTTAATTCAGTTATATGCTAAACAAGGAGATGCTGTTCTTGATCTCGCTTGTGGGAAGGTAGTGTATGAATGGGATTCTGTGGGATTATTCGGTGTTCAACGTGTGTTTGTGTAGTAATTTAGCACTTTTGGTATCTTTTTTATGTGCACCAGGGTGGTGATCTTATCAAATGGGATAAAGCAATGATCAGTTATTATGTTGGAATTGATATATCAGATGGCTCGGTAAAGTTTCTATTCCTTGTACCTCCCTTCCACTGGCAATTGTACGGCTCATGTGTATCTCATTCTCTAGCATCTTCTTTTTCTTGTTTTTCAAGCTATCATCACAATGAATTTACTCACCTATTTGTATCCCATGGTGAAAAAATATTAAATGAAGTTCAGCTTATGGTCAATTTTTGATTTGTGAGGTTTTCTGCTATTAGGTGTTAGAATTTGATCTTCTGCAAATCTGCTTTGGATTTGTGAAGTTTTCTGTTATTAGGTGTTAGAATTTGATCTTCTGCAAATCTGCTTTCTTTCCCAAATTTAAGTTTTAATTTAATATTCACTTCTTGAAGATACCCTGGATTGTGGAATAGTAGTATAGTACTGTATTTTAGGTATTTGAATTTTATCCTTCGCAAATTTACCCTTTCGGCATTTCATTTCCTGAATACAAGTTTCAATCTAATATATTGGTTTGAGGATACCCTAGCATGTGGATTATTGATAGTTTCTTTTATTGGCTGTTAGAATTTGATCTTTTGCATATATTTCTTTTTTGAAATTCAAGTTTTAATTTGATATTTAATTCTTGAAGATGCCCTAGAATGTGAAGAAGGTTAACATTCAAGTGGTTTTCGTTGCATTAATAATACGTGTAATCCATTTATCCATGTGATCATCATGTCCTCAACTCTCCACTGACGAATAATATTGGGAGGTAAATATTAAGGATTTTTTTATGGATTACATTTTCTTATTCACAAACCTATGAAATCTCTACATGCTTGATACATGAAGTACAGTAACGAGATTCGACACCTTTACATATTTTTGTCCTTGAGGCTTAAAGGACAAGCTATAGATTATAGCCATAAACTTTTCAGTTGATGTCTTGTCCCGATGACTGAAACCTTGAAAGGGCTGCATATATCTTCTGAATTAATAAACATGGCTTGTGCTTGTGTGTGGCTGAAATGTAATTGTGAAGTCTCAATGGAACAAAGATATGCTTTTTTTAAACATTTTCCTCTCACTTAGATGTCCATGTATGGGTTGCATAATGAGTGATCATTATGATTCTCTTCATTTGTACCCTAATCCATTTAAAAATCTATTTCAGTCTCAAGATTGGTAGCATAATTAATTCAGTAAGGATGCAAATTGAAATGATATTGATTCTTTCCTAATAGAATTATAACTTTCAGTCATGGAATTTTTCTGAATTATCAGCTTATTCAATATTAATGAAGAGTTTGCCAACTGTGACAACAGATAGAAGACTGTCGAACTCGATATAATGGTGATGCCGACCATCATCAGCGTCGAAAAAAGTTCTCATTTCCTGCAAGACTCTTGTGTGGAGATTGCTTTGAGGTAATTAGTGGTTACATTAGCCGTGCCAGCCATAAACATGAAATGCTTTATCTGACAAGTTTTTGGCTGAATCATTTTCTCGTATGTATTGCCTTTAATTTATAGAATATTTACAAAGATATAAAAGGAAAGATTTTATACTATACAATCAATAAAATCCCTGATTCTATGCGGATTATAAATGGAAACCAATAATTAGTGAATATCCTCTGATATTATCAACAATCTGATGTATACAAATTGATCTGACTTATGTTTAAGTATCTGAAATTAGCCTTGTCTTGTTACTTAATTTAGGCGCTGGTGAAAGTAATTTCTATCTTTGCCTGATGGATTTTAGGTTCGCTTGGATAGAGCTTTGATAGATGATGCTCCGTTTGATGTTTGTAGCTGCCAGGTGAGCCTTTCGTTCCTGTTAGAGTAATGGTCCCTGTTTTAGCATTACTTAATTGGGTGGGTGTGGCGCACTAAACCAAAGTTATTGCCATTTAAAATTGACAAAAAGAAGTTTTTTCTTTTATTATCTTTTTGAAAGCTACATAAAAGAAGATTATCCATGAGCTATTGACGTTCTCTCTTACTAATTTCTGCTTTTATTTAACTGAAAGATGCATAATATTCTCTGTAATGACTTCAATTTACTTGTTGCGTGGTTTGACTGTACAAGCACACTCAATTTTGCCCTTCTTATCGGATTGGGAATACAGCATCAGAACCGTTTCAAAAAAAATTATACGTCGCACTGTTGCTTTACACTTCGAATTTCTGTAGTGGTCTTGTCCTATACGCAGTTAAGATCCTGTTTGAGCCCCATTTTTTGCCCAAAATGTATTTTGAAATAATATTTTGATGGAGAATGTGTGATTAAAAAATAAGGAAAAGTTTTGGGTTTGCGTGTAATATTATTTTATTGAAGAATGTGTGGTTAAAAATAAGAAAGAGAAAAATGTATTTTGGAAATAATGGGGACAAAACAAGGGCTAAAGTAAAAATACCTCGATGTTTTTGGATTCTTCAATGATACTTCTATCAGATTATATCCTAGTTCAAACTCCTTTGTCAATATCATGGATGAGAAATTAAAAAGAAAAATGCACGTGAAAAAGAGATGTTCGTGTTACCTACGTTGAAAGTTCTGAAATCATAGTTTTTATGTGAACATTGCAAGCGGTTAACAATTATGTAGGTTTTAAAGTTGATATTAACTGTCAAAACCTGAAATTTTGCAGTTTGCCATGCATTATTCATGGTCTACTGAGGCACGTGCAAGGCGGGCCTTGGCCAATATATCAGCTTTACTTCGACCAGGAGGCACCTTCATTGGAACTATGCCAGATTCCAATGTTATCATCAAAAAGCTTAGAGAAGGTATTTTCCTGGGCTTTTTTTATCTGCTTTTGGAGTTCACCGGAAATTGAAAATGTAGTGTAAACTTGCTTTTTATTAACCCTCTCGAAGCTATGCTTCTCTCCATGCTGTTTGTCACTAAATGCAAATGGAATCTGTTATCCACTGTATTGGCACTTTAGGCATTCTTTAGGTATGTATAGGACGCGAAGAGAGATATATGATTTTTTATTTCCTTCTTGATTATTGCTAATTGCCTAGTGGTAGTGACTTGATCACTTGATCATTATGGCAAAGAAAAAATAAGTTTTTAATTTCTTGTTTTACTGTCTTTGAGTCGCATTGACTAGACGTACACCCACCCATGAACTATCCGTGATTTCATTTTTGGGACCTCATGGCATTTTGTTAGATACAAAAACTTTCCCTTGTTACTCATGATTTTGATGCTTTGTTTTTTCCTTTTTCTGAAACTATGAATCCTCTGAATTTAATACCATTTTACTGATTATTATTCACTTGATGGAATATGCAGCTGAGGGGTTGGCATTTGGTAATAGTGTGTACCGGGTAAGGTTTGATGAAGAATTTGCAGAGAAGGTAAATTTCATTATTTATTTCAGAAAAATGCCGGCAAAACATCTTTTCTTGCATATTTTTGGAAATCCTCTATTTTTCTAATAAAAATTTCTCCATTTTGGTTTATTCCAGAAATTTAAGTCTTCAAGTCCTTTTGGCGTCCAGTACAGTTTCCACCTAGAGGTTTACCCTTTCTACTGTTTTATCTATTTGGTTATTTTAATCTGGAACTTCACCGTAAACTTGTTCATTTATTTTGACATGTGATATTTATTATAGATTTGCACTTTCACACTTCTGAAAATATCCTCATGAAAAGTGATGGGAGTGATTCTCTTGTAGGATGCTGTTGATTGTCCTGAATGGATTGTCCCTTTTCCTGTTTTCAAATCATTAGCAGAGGAGGTATTAAAATTCTGCTTCTTGATTAAGTTTCATATTTACATCAAGCAATTCTTTCAACGTCTCTTTGAAATTGTCTTTCTTGTTGTCCTTGAATGATTATTGGCTTTGATTATTCTTGGAAGGATTAGAATACTGCACTCACAGTGCTAGTTCTAAATTATATGAAATGAAATAGATTAATCCTGATGTTAATAATGTGAATTAGAACATGGATTTGACTAGTGGGTTATGAACTTATGAATACGTATTTGTAAAACACCTGTTTATGTATCAGAAGTCACTGTGAAATCTTATTATAAGCTGCATTACAAAATTTTTACAGCTTACTTATTTCAACTGTGCAGTATGATTTGGAGAAAATTCTGCTTCTTGATTAAGTTTCTGATTTCATATTTACATCAAGTAATTCTTTCAACGTCTCTTTGAAATTGTCTTTCTTTTTGTCCTTGAATGATTATTGGCTTTGATTATTCTTGGAAGGATTAGAATACTGCACTCACTGTGCTAGTTCTAAATTATATGAAATGAAATAGATTAATCCTGATGTTAATAATGTGAATTAGAACATGGATTTGACTAGTGGGTTATAAATACGTATTTGTAAAACACCTGTTTATGTATCAGAAGTCACTGCGAAATCTTATTATAAGCTGCATTACAAAATTTTTACAGCTTACTTATTTTCAACTGCGCAGTATGATTTGGAGCTGGTTTTTGTAAAAAACTTCCATTTTTTCGTGGATGAATACTTGAAGAAACCTGAATTTGTTGACCTCATGCGGTCCGAACCACGTGACCCACTATAGGGAGACCAGAGTATGTCCTAGATTTACTTCTATATGAATTGCCAATCGTCTTATTCAATTAGCAACTTGATCAATTGGTTTGAAATTTCACTTGTATATGTGCAGGTACTCTTTCACCAGATGAATGGGAGGTAGCCTACTTATATTTGGCCTTCGTTTTGAGGAAGGTGAAAATCCGTACTTCTCAATAAATAGGTCCATTTGAATATATTGCCCAACTAAAATACAAATATTTGTTCTTTTTACATGTGCGGTTCTTGTTCTAAAAGACTTCACAGAATAGAAAGTTGTTTCTTATATACATATTCGATTTTTCTATCTTGGGCATACTGGTTTAATCGTTACTGCTATTTAAGGGGAACGGTGAAGGCATTGTGCACTATGGGATGCTGTTTTTAGATGGTAGTAAACTAGTTACCATTTATCTTTTCTTGCAGCGAGGGAAACCAGATCAACCAAGAACGAACAATAGAAGAGACAGAGGAAAGATGCAGTTGTCGAAGGAAGACATTGTATTCATAAGAACTGATGTTTAAACGCTTAGTTTCAAGAACATCCAAATGGGACACACAGCACGAAATTTCAGTGTTGTGAATGGCAAGCTCCATCCTTGCATTCAACTCGTCTCCTCACCACAAAGATTTCCGAGTTGCTGATCAGTATTGTGGAGATCAGAATAAGTAGGCATCTCTGCGTGCTTATGGCAGTGTAATTGCCTCTTACTGCTGGCCTTCTTTACCCTTTTGATACAATTTCTATGGTGAAAGCAAATAAGAAAAACGCGATTGATACAAAACTTTAGTCAGTTGTTCTCTATATCAAATGTGATGTTTCAATTGGTTAACTTTCCGATTTTGATTTTGGTGAATGCTGATGTTATCATACAACTATTAATTTATCAGAGCTTTGGTGGTCTGTTAGTTTCGCTGAGCTAGATGACATTTATTTTTTTCTGAAGTGCAAAACTCGTGAACATCTCGAGTATTGAACATTATGGTCTAGGATGAAATACTAGAGGATTATGTTTTCACTATGAGACCATTTGAAATAATCAAGATCATATAACTCTCGAACATGGCGCAAGGATCGACCTATACGCACAAATAAAAATAAATGTGAGTTTTTTTATTTCAAAAACAAATAAAAATTTTATTCATTTAAATCAATAATGAGAATGCATAGAATGAAGTTTGGTGATGTATCAATCCTCCCATACAGTTGATTGAAGAGTGCCAAAAGCGTATTTCGTTGGGGTTTTGCTGTGTACATTGTGACACATCGGTGTACAGTCCCCTCACAATAAGGGACCTATGATTTTTTTATTCGGCGTAAGCCCCCCTGTTGTGAGGGGGTTGTACATCGGGGTGTCAACCTCGGTATACAAATAGTAAAACACATTTCGTTGAGCTGAACTTTGTTGTTAAGTACTATTATTGATGAGTTATGTAAATTAATAATATAAATAAAATAATCAATAATTCCTTCGCCCCTTGAAACGAATTTCAACTGATTAGTTTGTTCTTTGTGAAAATAGTGTTCAGAAGAAAGATATAGGAGTTACATCTTTGGCTGACACCAAATTAAATGATTAATTACCGCTTATGACTAGCTGATTTTTTGTTTTAATTGTGCGAAATCTTTACTCTATTTTATATCATTTTAAATAAAAACTTTAAACCCATGAAACTAAGGCGACAAGTTAAAATCAAGTTTTACGAAATGGATAATATTTTGTAATATTGAGTGCTTGTTTGTAAAAATTAAAATTCACATTTTAATTTAAGTCAAAGTAAACAATTAATTTTAGGGAAAAATTCAAGCATTAACTTTGCACAATTCAAAAATCAAGTTTTAAGTGTAATTAATGTAAAAATCAGGTATTTATTTATTATATTATATTAATTAAATATAATAAATCACAATTATATAATTTATGGTCACGGGCACATAATTATAGGTCACAACTTATTTATTGATCACCTATTAAATAATTAATTGGTCACATATTAATTCGAGATCACAAATAAAAAATCTTATAGGTCACATTTTATTTTATTAGTCACATACAAAAAAATTATAGTCAATCAATCACATATTTCCAAATTTATTGGTCACAAATTATCGAATTTTAAGGTCACAGATAAAAAATTATAGGTCCCAATTTACCAATCAGACACGTATTTTTAAATTTGTTGGTCACAAATTATCAAATTTTAAGGTCACATGTAACGAAACCCTAAACCCAATCCATTCATCCGACGACCCATTAACACACAATCTCAGTGCCAATGCCGGCAACCCCATCACCTCCAAAACCCGATCCATTCATCCGATAGTTTCCTCAAAACCTCGTCTCCTCCCCGTCATCTCCTCAAGCCCAATGCTTCGTCTCCCCATGTCGTCGCAGCGCCGACAATCCCACACACAGATTTGCCCCGACAAAACACCACCATAACCAGTTAACAACAGCCAACATCCCACAACAGTAACAAAACCATGGCGTTTCTTGCAGATCTGCTTCGCGCAGCGGTGGCCTATGCCGATAGATCTCATGCGCGACTTGGCCACCATCACCACCACGAGGCGGTGTTCGTTGGAGTAGAACGAGGAACGACATGAAGCGATCTATGATGATGGTGGTGTTAGGCTGCTTCTCGTGGCTCCACTCCAGCGGCTTTGAGTCCAACGAGTCCTTTCCGACAGAGAGAGAACTGAGAATAGAGAAGTGAGCGAGGTGGAGAGTTAAAGGCGGCGACGGGAGGGAGGTGATGGGTTGGCTTAGAGAGAGAATGTAGAGAAGAAAGGTTTAGAGAGAGAGAGAGTGCATGTGTAGATAAGAAAGGGCGAAGAAAATGAATTGGGTCCATCTTTCCCTAATTAATATATTAATAAATTATCAAAATAATTAATACCTGATTTTTGATTAAATAAATTTCATACCAGAATTGTGAATTTGAAAGTTTAAGTACGTGGTTTTTTGTAATTTCCTCTTAATTTTGACCGAATATTTTATGAGCCCACACATTTCATCAATTTCTATCAAAATCTATTAAAACTTTGAGTTTAATCTCTACCAAATAGGGGCTGAATGTTGAATAGTTAAAGTACTAATTAATTTATATCTATAATAAATATAGTCCAAATAAAGATAATCAAATATAAAGAAAATATAATATAGTCTAATTATATTAAAATAAATCCCAACTTATCTAAAATAATTTACTTATTTTTAACAAAATATAAACATTGAGCAAGGAGAATATACTATCCAATCAGCTACATATTTAGGTGTAAGAAAGGCACGTGCGGGCCCCAATCCAACATTGGATTATAATGACTGTGATCCGGTACACATAGCATGATTCATCCAACATTAATAACGTTGGTAAACTATTAAAAAGTGTGACACCTTGACCAATTTTCAACAACTTCAAATTAAAATAGGGATTCGACTGAAAGGTAGTCGGGATTTGATTGAAAGCTAGCTTCCTAGCGAAATCCAATGAAAAATGTGACTCAAGTTATCTAATCTAAAAAGTTAGCATTACTAACTATCTAATTAGAAGATTTGGTTCTAAAGTTATATGCTTAAATTAACAAAATAGGATTAGCAACTAATCTCCACCTTTGTTTTTGAGCTGCATATTCCCTTTCTTCCTTGCCATTTTTATATAATGCACCTGCATTAGTAGTGCCAAAAAATAAAACAAAATTATTTATAACTCAATTATAATTTATATACACGATAAAAAAAAATATAAATCAACATAAAAGAGTTTTAAGTTATTCCTCTTAATAAGATTGATCTTTTGAAATTGAATTTAAATCTTAGCCCCTGTTTGAGCCATATTAAACTTTCATTCTCATTCTTCTACTCATTTTTAATTGCATATTTTTCAATCAAATAATATTTTCCATTTTTTAACCACACAGTTTTCATCAATCTATTATTTCAAAATACATTTTTCCAAAATAATGTGGCTCAAACACACCCTTAATATGATATCATATTAAACTTAAATGAGATTTCGTCCATGTTTGGTTCAGCTTAAAAAAATGATTAAAATTTAAGTCAAAATGAATAATTTTAACTACATATTTCATTGGATTCTAAAACTTTTCAATCACGTATTATATCAACTTCTATTAGAATCTACTAAATTGAATTTTAATCTAAACCAAACATGGACTAAAACTCAAACGAGCCTAGGAGTTTCAAAATTTATTCCCTCAAGTGAGTCATGATCATACGAGACATATTAGGGGATAAATCTCCGATCGAAATTATTTAACGTGGTTTTGGCTACTCCATGCAACTAAACCCCTGGTAATCTGTCAAAATCAGATTCAAAATTTCATATCAAAACAAGAAATCCACTTACTTTTGGCATTACATGTTAGATATTTTTCATCTTTTGAATGTTCATCTTTTGTTTTGCGAATGTTTTGTCGTCCCAACTAGTGTTTGCCGCTACGCAATGGGGATCGACCTGCCCGATCAGGTCGCGGGGGTCGAGGGGGCAGCGCCCGCCGTGGGGGCTCTGGGGCAACGCCCCCGAAAGAGAATTTTATTTTCAGAAGTCTTTGAATAGGTATGTTTCTTCCAACAGATGGGTCCATTCATTTCAAGGGACACACATATTCAAAAGGTTGCCTCTATTTCTATATATTCTTGACGAATTCTCATTTGCAAAACACATAAAAAAAAAACATTCGTTATTTTCTATTATTCTCTCTTTTCTCTTGGCATCATCAGTTTTTTATAGAGTGTTTTTCTTAGTTTGATCAAATAGTCACAGTTTGAATCAAACGTCTCCATTGTATCCTGAGAGAGATTTTCTATCATGCCCCAGTCGTGACTTTGTTGAATAGGGAAGAAACATCTCTTAAAAGATAACGATTTTCGTGTTTTGGAGTTCATTAATTTTTCCAGATTTTCTTACATATTTACCAACGTTATAATCCGGTGGATCTTCAAACAACGATAGCGAAAGCTGTTTACGAGCAACGCCAATATCGAACAGAATCAGCCCCGGCTTCGGATAATCAACAACAATGTCCTTAACCGGAAGCCAAAAGAAAAGCTCTTCCAGCGAGAATCCCTCGACTCCGGTCAGACTGCCATAAGTAAAATTCGCCCGAACAACGCTGTCATAAAACGCCATCGTATCAAACTTGATCATGCACAGACCATCCAGAAACACTTCGAGAAGCCCAGATTCAGACAGTGTGTAGGATCTCACCTCCTTCGGGAGAAGGCCGGCCGGCAACCCTCTGGACTGGAGAAGCTCGTGAATGGAGGAGGAGTAAGAAAGTAGTAGAGAGAGAAAGAGTACGAGTAAGAGTAAGAGATTTTGAATGAACTCCATAAAGGATATGAATCAATGGTAACGTGTAGAAGAAGAACGAATACGGATTGATTTGAAGAGTTTTAATGTTGGGTCAAGGAATTATGGACTATAGAAATGGGAGTTGTATTAATGTTTTTACTGATTTGCCCTTGTTATTGTTCGACCCATGAAGTCGACCCTAAAAGCATAAAAATTTCCGTTGCAGGGCCGGTCCTCAGAATTATGAGGCCACAGGCGATAAATTATTACGATGTTCTTAAATATGAATGAAATGAACATTTTTAAAATAAATAACTTATTTTTTACTTTCATATAATTTATAAATTTTAAAGAAACTTTATAAGCTTAGCAAAAAAATTATAAGGAATATTTTTTAAATTCTTCTTTTTATTTTTGCATTGACTTTCTTCTAGATTTTGATAGATAGAAGAAAAAAAGAATATAACACTATATAATAGTTTAATTCTATTTCCATTTTATTCCTTAAATCAAGAATGTAAATTAAATATTCAAGTACTTTGGACCTCTTATTTAGTCCCATTTTGTTGTTTTGTTGTTGCTTTTTTAAGAACTAAATGGTCAAACTCATAGAAATATAAATGACTAAGTTTGCCTTGGACCATAGCCAGACCTGTTCGTTAGATCAGCTAATTCGAAAGAAAACAATTGAACGAAGTTCCAAAAAAGTTGAAACTCATAAAATATACCAATTCAAGCAATATTTTCTATATAAAAGTTGCAGGTTAGATCACCATCAAATATACAAACCTATTTTTGTATTAGTCAGTTAAACAAATGCCAACTAAAGGGTTTGAACAATTCATTATCAAACAAAACTATACGATAAGAACCCGTATAACAATTTAATTGTAATAAGCCAATTTTTTGATATGAAAAGGGCGTTCTCAAATTTCGGGCATCTCTAATAGCATTATTGTCTTATACATACACGTGCAGTTCAATCAATTAAAGAGACCAATCACATTTATTTGACTTTTATTAAAATCTCCAAAGATTTTTGGTAATTTGAAAATACAAAAAAAATAAGTGACATGAACATGATTCTTTAAAACATCGAGGGTATTTCAGTCAACTCGAATTTCCAACAACAAATTGTAATTGATGGATTCAATAAACAATAATGCTACATGTACAGCATCTTTAACATCAGTGTTTACATTGTATCATGTGTCGACGTACCATTGGACAATTTAAAAGGAAAAAAAAAAAAAGTTCTCCCCACAATTTTTTGAAAACAAAGATAACATCAAAAATCATGTAAGGAATGGAGTGTACATTTAGCATAATTGTTCAACAAATCAGAATTTGGACCAAGAGAACTAAAAAAAATCATGAACACAGAGAGGGCACGAACGCCATTTCGAGAATGTTTCTAGTACTTTATTGACTCTAGGGGTAGGGCTGGGCTGCAATTAGTTGCATGGAAGTTGGGGTAATTGTCATTAATGCCACCGTAGATTGGAGAGTAGAACTAATTGCACGATTGCTCCCAAATTATTCGTCCAATTGTAAATGGGTTTTGAACCTTTTCAAAATAGCAAGTTCAACAGGAAACTCTTCAAATCTTCGTCACGCGTCCCTCACATATTGAACTTTACAAAGCTGAATTTTATATTTCGATATGCGTTGATGCTTAAAAAATTTAAATGGGGTATATTTTGCACATAAATTTAAATGAAATTAATTGTTACCTTTGTGTCCTAACCTCTTAAGTCTCAATACCATCTCTCTCATTCTTAATTTTCTTCCAAGAAAAAGAGAGCCAAAAAAGGTAAGAGACCAATTTGTTCTCCTCTTCCTTAAAACTGTGATGGAGATGACACGTCAACAATGACGCGCCATCTCTCAACTTGTTTCAGCAAATGCTCCTCATCATCGCTTTCCATGCACGAAAGCTCATACCAAAATGCCACAGCCGACTTATCTGAGGAACATAAGATGGTCCACCGGTGGTGGTGGAGCACTAGAGCTCTCCTAGTCTCAGGGTTGTGCCACCTCCCCTGAGACGGAGCTACTCTTTTTAAGGCTGGGAAGGAGTGACTTCAACCTGGAGATGCCAGTGATACGCTTACAATGTGGACTGTTAGGATTATATGGGCTTGAAAAATCCTTTTTGGTCAGAGCCGAAGGACCGTTAAGACAAAAGGCCTACGTTGAGGCTTTGAATTTGGACTCCATTTTCACGCCCCATTTGGAGTCCAGGGCTAGGCCCACTGTTGGGAATGATCGGGATGCTTTATTATCCTGCATCATCTCACCCCCACGTCCCTGCTCCTGCTTTCTAGCTCAGCTACATGGATACCTTAAAGTTTTCAGTCACTTCAATAGGCTAATCTTTCGGAATAGAACCTCAAGTTCATGCACTGAACAAGCAACATTCAAAATCCCTACAACAGAGCCATTGCAAGTCTCATTTACGAGTGCCCTAAGGACAGGTGGATCAAGATGCCGATGTTATGGTTGCTTTATACAAATCCTGTCTAGTGACAAACTGTTCCAATGGAGCAAACAAAGATCAAGTTCTGGCCAATGATTTTGTCACCAAGAGGCTCGAAAAGTAGTGCTCTTCTAAAGATATTTCTGCCAAGAAATCTGCTTATATAAGGCTTCAATAGTACCAAATGTGGAGTTGCAATCTCTCGAGAGACTGCTGCTCATCAAATTTTGAGTTCCCAAAACTTCAAATTCTTCGAGTCTATTTATATGTTCGTGACAACTTCAGATATTTTTTATGGATCATTTTACAACAAAGTAATTAATACGTAATTTAGTACTTGAAAAGCAGCAGAAATCAAATCTTCATTCGTTAACAGTAAAAGCAGGCAGACTTGTCCCTTTCTTGAAAAGTAACTTTTAAGCCCAACAAACCTAAATAATCGTAAAAATAGAGGCGCATCAACACTATTAATTTTATACGAAATAACCACCCAAATTAACAATAAAAAAGAACATTAATTGGTCCACCTGCACCGGCACAAGCAGGAAAAAAGGATCAATTTAGTGTTTCTCAAAACCCACAAATATTAAAAGAGTCTGTCAATACCCCATAAGCATGAACAATGGTTTATATAGTTTGTAAGCAAAAACAGAGAATGTGTGCTAAATTCTGAGGTGGGAACACAAGTGAGAATGAATCCCCCTATTAACTCCTAGCTTATATGATACTGTACCACGAACAAACAAGTGATTTTCATGTGACATGCAGCTAAATTGAAATGGATCAAGTAAAATGAAGAGAATTTTCACACCTTGAGTAGGCTCTAGATTAAATCTGGTCGACAAAACACAGGAGGCAAGTTAATGGATTCCAGAAAATTTCTTGATCCATCTTTGTGACATCTCTATCTCACTAATCCTCCAACGGCTGTTTCCTAGATTCAACTATCAATTCTCTCGAAAAAGTACAAGTATCCCATGTCAATTGGTGGGTTCTTTGAAGCCCCAACCTTGTCATCATTGAAAATCACCCACCTTCCATCTTTGCGGATATGAGCCACATAATGACCACAGTGAGTAGATGTACCAATGTGGCTCACTAATCCAATAAGCCGGTATCCTGTGCAAGTAATAAGAAAGTTGGTGAATATAAAATACCAGAAGCACGTGCTATCAGCTCACACGAATTCCATGAGTATCACAAAAAGAGGGAAAATTATAGAGAACCAATATCTTTTCACAGTGGAAAAAACTAGCAATAATAATGATGACAAAAATAATGTAAGTTCGATAAATAAACAGTGCAGTTTTTTTTCCCCTTCTGTAAGAATGTCAAACTACGAACATTTCTAGATTTGCTGAACCACATTAAATTTTTGTAGTACTAACAGACTTTAAAATTAAAACTATAGAATATGTCAAGAATCTAGTTTCGATAAAATGTAACATGAGTGCAATCTTTAAAAGAAGAGGACTAGCACGTGTAATATAACAGATATCCGGTGCAATAGCTTATTGCAGATCCACAGGACAGGGTATGAGAAACTCACTCCCATCTCCATCAGGCAGAACTGCATCAACAGCAGCAGTACTACTACTCGGACTAGTGTCCATATGTGATGTACCAGAAGGCGGATTAAATATCCATTCAGTGGCCTTTTCAATATCACCGTCCTGTAAGAATTCAATATAACGATCTGAGGTACTCCAACATTTCAGAAACAAATGAACATATCTCCTTTTCTCATATAGTAATATATGGAAAAAGCTCCAGCTACAAGAATTTTACCGAAGCCAGGAGTGCCTTTCGAGCAAGTTCTTCCTCAAAACCAAATGACACCAAAGTATCAACTTTTGATGGGTCAATATCTGAATACTGGGGAGCACTCTTAGCTTCGTTTGTGATGGGATCATCAATGTCTGGAAACAAAAGTTACAAATCAAGATCTTAGAAGTTTCAGAAACCACAAGAAAACTGACAGATAAACTGCCTTCTACAACCAAAGGTGACTCCAAATACCGGGATCATTCATGTGGCTAAGTAACCAATTCATTGCTGCCTCAACTCCAGCATTGGAGGTATTGATAGCTGCCTTTTGGCAGTGAAGATAATTGAATCCCATCGACACAAGTTGGGTAACAATATCCTCACTGGCGACAAGTTTAACTCCGCTATCCCCTGCAGATGTACACAAAGAAGAAAATGCCAGACATCAAGTATCTAAAAGGTGCTTGCAAAGATGGAAAAAAACAGTGCCATATAGTAGTCATACAACCATATCTTTAACAAGATATGATATAATGAACAATGACCTTGCACACAAAATTTAGAAACAACAGCCAAGAAGATAGCAAATATGAGCAATCTTTGCTAAATCAAAATATCTACATGCTCTTATGGCATTATATCTATCCACCCCCACAAAAAAAAAAGGTGCTTGTCAACCAATCATAAAAGGTCATTTCCATGTTGAACATGGCAGATTCCGCATGGATTAACGATTTGATCCATTGTCGTTGAAATACTAAGATGGTCAAAATAGATATATGCAAATAAAGATTGAGAAAGTGCAAATAGTGTATTTACAGTAACATGCAAGATTTAGTAATTCCAGCATGACTAAGAACAATAAAATATTTCCAGAAAATACTAACTAATGTCGAATTACCAAAAAAGGTAATGCCTAAATGATATCGCAAACAAGCCAAGACAAGCCTGGTGATTAAATAGTTACATGTTTGAGATTAAAGAATCCCTCATATTCAGAGGGTAAGCTTGTTTTGATTCAGCATACTATACGCAAGCATGGCTGCATCACAAACTCACCCTCATTCAAGCTAAGTTAGCGCCCATTATTTTCTAAATCCACATATCTAGTCGAAAGAAACTATATAATTGAAGCAAAGACAACAAAATTGGCATATCAACAGAGAAACCTAAGAGGGTGAACAAAGAAAAATAGAGAGAGATAACACACCTCCTTCTGGCAACAATTCCTCCCCAGGTTGAAGACCCCTACTGCGCATATTAATTATGTCTATTGTATCAGGAACGTCAATGTACACATCTACATAATCAAACCCAAAGAGAGCAGTAATAACTAATACCATTTGAAGTGAACAGGTAAAGATATTAAAGCCACATTAATAGTACCGAGTTTTTTTGGAACCCAGCCTTCCTCCATGATAAATTTTCGCATGTGCAACACTAGATAATCAGGAAAGGAAGTCAAACCCGCAGTTCTGCAAACATATATAAGAAATGTGTTGGATACAAAAGGGTAAATATAAACTAGATGTGAAAATCCAATTTAACATTTTCCCTAGATCAGTCTCTGTCTTTCAACTCTCAAAGATAAAAAAATTAGTCTTTAGAGTGATGAATGAGCAACTTCAACTTGAAAATTTGATTTAGTACTCTTCACGATATAAACCTGAGTGTGTGTGAGAGTAAAAGAGAGACCAACGTTTAATACACATTATCTAAAGTCGCCAGGATAATGAATTTTCATTGATAGGCACACACAGAGAGAGAGAGAGAGAGAGAAGACTAGAAAGCTAACTTTATAGCTGTTGTCCTGGCATCCAGCGCAGTGCTGTAAAAATCATGCACCTCCTCAGGAGCAGAGAAGCAATCCAGGCAATCCTTCAAGAGCACCCTTGGCCGTACAATTTCATCAGCAGACCTGCCAAAACTAACATATTTAGCAAAATGTTACATGAAGGTGGAAGCTTTTGCAATGGCACTGTTTAGACTTACAATTCCTTCCCTTCTGCGTCCTTCTCGGCCCGTAATTTTTGGAAGTCTTCTAATTCCTCTGAATTTCGAAACTTGCGATGTTAGATTGATGTCATAATTTACAATAACAGAATATTCAGACAATAATAACAAGGTAAACTCACTTTTGTTGGTAGCTTTGTGTAGCGGAATACTCAGCGAAAGAATATAATCGTGTCTCTTGTTATAGGCAACTCTGCCAGAGGGGCATTGCAATCGCTCTTCAATGCCAAACTTGAAACTCCTTGAAGGATCAAAATTAGGATTCCCAGCATTGATCCTCTCAACTTGGTCGATGAAGTGCAGGAAGAACTCTAAAGCATCCTAGACATAACTTCCTGTTAATTATCTATGCAACTAAATCTGGCAATCAAAGTGCAAAAGAATAACAGACGGGAGAAATATAAAATTAATGATGAGCTATCGAACAAGGTATCCATCCAGCAAGTCATTGTTGTACAATCCCTAGGCTTCAGTAGCCCTGCCGTAAGCTGACAACTAGACATAACATACAAGAAAAGAAACAGTGGCAACTAACAAATAGTCATACTAACACTGTAGCTGACTATACAGTTTAATCACCTATCACTTTCAAACATTTCTTTGTGATTTTTACAGGTTTCATAGCAAAATAAGAATTAAAACTCGCATTTCATAAGCCATTAGTCAACCCACTAACAGATCAGGTTACAAGTTGCAAAGAATACGCCCATGGCATCAAAGATCATAAATCACCAAGCCAAAAAAAAATCTGGATTCAAATATTTCTTTGTGAGTTTTACAGGTTTCATAGCAAAATAAGAATTAAAACTCGCATTTCATAAGCCATTAGTCAACCCACTAACAGATCAGGTTACAAGTTGCAAAGAATACGCCCATAGCATCAAAGATCATAAATCACCAAGCCAAAAAAAAAATCTGGACAAACCAATTATGATATCCCACTTTCAAGATTACGATAAAGGTGGAAACAATAACATTCTCGAGCCTTATTGGCAACAATCAAAACATGTAAGAATACCTGTTGTCTCATCGTTGAAAACTCAGGGTGGCTTGCAGCAATTACTGACTTGAACATACGTGGAGGAATGCCCTCTTGTTTCTGAAAGTTTTAAGGCAGTCCAGTAGTTAGAAATAGAGAGCCAGAAGACATTTTCATAATACTGGGATTGATGTCTTACATCATCTGGAAGGTTTTAATTTACGTCAACTTAATAACTGTACTGGTCAACACGTCGAAAATATATAGTGCAATATGCTTCAGCATTCTTACATAAAGTATAAGCTTTCATTATGGTTCGATAATAATTCGATATATAATAAATATGATCTATAAATAACAAAAAACCATAGAAGTAGGTAGCATGCTGACTTACAGCAGTTAATGTAGAGTTTGTCGTATCTCCAGCATCATCTTTCTGGATGACAAAGGCTTGCTGTTACTCATATGAAAACAGATAAACAAGCATAAAGAAATATACAAGCAACATACCTTGGTAGCTGGAAGAGAATATTTACCAGAAAGCAAGCCATGAGCAAGCTTTGCTCTGCCAAGAGAACGAAATGTGTTAACTAAGCAATGGAGCAAAAATCGGCAAAGTAAAATGACATTGTTACTTATCACACCCAAATGTCCATTACATTAACGAAACAAATGCTTTTTAACCTTCAAGTACTACCAAGAGAGAAACCGTGTGAAACAGATGATAAAAGGAACCTGATAGCTAGAGAAATCACTTGCTGAGAATCAGGACAAGTTATTAAAAAATTTTACCCTGGAAAAGGCATTACATTAACCAGGCAGTCGGCTGGCATATGGCAATCATCACATGTGGAGCAGGACATCCCCATTATTCTAAAAATCTTGCAACATAGTAATTGTTGCGTCTAATTTAAATGGCCATCTGTCAACAACCGTGACAATTTTCCAATCTGTATTCAGCTTCCAATAGTCCCCCAATCCACCATCACATTACCCCTCACCCCACCCCCAAAAAAAGAGAGAGAGAGAGAGAAGGAAGGAAGGAAAGAAAGAAAAATAAAACTGTCCCTAAAAGGTGCAGAGTTAAAAAAAAAGTCGACTCCTTCCCTCCCGACACCCCATCTTAACATTCAACTTGAACTTACAAAGCATTCGATATTTTCATTGTATTGCTGTCATGAAAAACATTCACTATCCTCTTTACAAAATTCATTTTTAGGACAACCTAAATCCACAAAGCTTGCAGGCAAAATAATACCCAATAGCAATAATCCTAAGGGATTGGTTCAACAGCCAAGAGATCAACTCAAGCGCAAAAGTCCTGAGATCAACTACCCTCCCCATTCCCTCCCAAACCCTTGGGCCAAATATTTTCACCCCATAGGTAAGAGAGCATCTTTGGCCCCATGGGTAAGAGAACGGAAAAGAAAAATAGAAAGAGAACAACTTTTAACAGAAATCCATTATTTGACAAATAATTGCTTCCTACTGTAGTAACCTTCAAGTATCTTTGAGAAATACTTTGCCGATTACTTCCTCTTCTTAGAGTTCCTAGAGCACGAAGAAGTTCCATAGATTTTAGGATTCTTGATTGCTACACAGGCCCACATATTCTCAATCTAGAAAGTTTCATAAGTTGATGTGTGTTCCTCAAAACAGCTCCAAATGAAAAACCATGTTACCATCTACCCATGTTAGGACAAAGTATAAAGAGGAATAATTAATGCAATTTCAGACGGCCACTCCCACACATGAATTACAAACAACGTAGCATCAATAAGTATTGCAAACAGAATGTAGTAAAATTATTGTCTTCCAGTGGCTAGTTCCCAAATCAGAAAAGAATATTCCACAAAACAAAAACGGGAGGACACAACTCTTGTAAACTAAAATCCAAGGAGAAGGCTGAGAAATGATACACATATATAACAGCATTGGAGATAAAAAAAGATTATGATAAGGTCGCTTACAGCTGCATATTTAGGTCTACGGTTGGATCAGCCGGTGCATTATCAAAAGCCATTTTCAAATTTTGATCCAAGTAGTATCTGAAGGAAAAATCGCAAAAAATGTGGATATGGTATTAACATCATCTGAAACTAAAGACTAAATTCCATATCAAATTCAATTGTTATAAGACTGCCAAAATATGGTACTGACCGTGTACAGAAGCCACGAGTCGAAAAGACAACTTGCATAGTTGCTGCCAAATAACAACTGAAAAGGGAACAGTTTGAGTATAAGAAAGAAAAAATAGCACACGAGTGCAGTAGCACAACTTTCGGAAACTAAAAATACCTGTTGCCAAGATTCACAAGTCCCGTATAACCTGGTCCAAATAGCGGTTCTACCTCCTGTCCGCTTTCTTGAATACGGTTCCAGTCGAAGTTGGTGTTTTGATCGAGTTCTCTCTCAGCAGTCGTCATCTCAGTCTGAAACATTAAACACCATGATACTCATTACCACTTGATGTTGATGATGATGACTACAATAACGACAACAAATAAAGGACAGGCACTGCTACTTTATTGAAGTAGCAAAGATATAATAAGTGTCAGAATGAAGACAACACCAAACAATAAAGAAATCCCCTTAAAGATTTTATCAGACTTTAAACAAATTAGAATTGACTGAAAAAGGAAAAGTGCCTGACCACTTAGCGAACAAACTCAATGCGTTCGCATCTCTTTTTTGAATTGGGAAATTACCAGTTTATCACAAAAGGTGACCATGAATCATAAAGAATCTGGTCACTTACTCTTGAACTTAAATATAATTGATAATCAATAAAAACTATAACTACAAAAAACATTAAGAAATCTTATCAGGAATCTAAACACAAGTCATGCACTTAACTAATTAACTTAAAAGAAACTGGAAGCGACAAGAGAAATGAGTAGCTTATCCAAGAAAAAAAAATAGAGAGACAACGGGTGAAATGGATTGCTTTGAAGAAAAAAGTTTTGTGAAAGGTGTTGATCAACCTAAATCATTAGAAAGCGTACCCATGTATTTATTTAAATTTAAAAATACTTGCCCCTTCACAGTTTTTTTTATCTATGCAGTGAGAACTCACAATTGGTCAAAGAAATTTGTTACAGATTGCTAGGGAGTAACTACATAGCAAGTTCTACACAGTACTAACTGAAAACAGAATAGAACATGCATTTGACAGAGAAACATAATACACATGTCAAAGGTTCTAGTCACAAACCTTTTGTAGGGATGAAAAATCAATGCCAAAATGGAGTAGATGCTGTGCGAGAAGTGGATCCTCAACACTTTCATCCTCGTCATAAGAGTAAACATCTGAGCTGCCAAATTTGGATTTCATGATTGTATTTGAACAATATAATAGTAGAAATTAACATATTCAAACACTAAAAAAAGTAATCTAGGAATTGAATTTCACGGTAGCGCAGCATGTTTTAAATACATGCAGATTGATAAATCCTAAAACCAAATTACATTTACTTTTTTCACCAAAGAATAATAAAGCACCAAAATTGCAGCACATCAATGGAGGAACTGCCACTTTCATAATATTTCCCAGAGATAATGCTGATAAAGTGCAAACAATCATCACAGCATCTCATATACATACACCTTAAATCCAATTCAATTCAGTTTTCTCTCTTCCATGCACATTTCTACGGCTAATATATCTCACATATACCAATAGAAGAGGAAAAAGGAAACTTAAGATAGATTTTGATGAATTTGACTTTTTGTATTACGTCATTTAAAAGTTTATCTCCTGACACTATGTGGTGTGTTTCTCTATGTAGTAAATGACCCTTCTGTTCATTTCAGGAAATATAGGAGTGATCCTAGTCTGTAGCATGTAACAGAAAATTGACACTACAAGAAAATTTCGGATAATATGCATAATAATTGGAACACTGACACTTTCCTGTAAAATCACTAGCAAAAAGCAGGATAAATAATGAGCAGGATAGAAAATAATCATTTGAACTATAATAAAAAGGAGGGCAATACCTGCTGCCTCTAAATCAGCCGTTATAGTTCCAAGCTTTACAGCCAGAGGGTAACCAGTCACGTTGTAATGGTTAACGGCATGGTCGTTGCCTCCACTTCCATCCCAATTACTTCTACCACAGAGTATTGATCCATCAGTCAAATTCAGCCAAAGATTAGCAGTCTTATCACATTTCTCACACTTCCAACCAGATGGAGGAACAATCACCCCGTTATCAAGCTGTTTCAAATCCATTGCATGTTTACTAACAAGCTTCTTATCGGCAGTCCAAGCAGAAACTTGCTCTTTTCTCTCGGCCCCAGCAGCCATTATAACAGCATCAACAGCCAATCTGACCTGAAAATACAAATAAAAGAAACATTCTAGGACCGACTCTTGATCTTATAAGCCAGTTAAGGTATAATAATACCACCTTCTCTGGCAACTCTACAGATGGAAAGGGGAGAGTGACGTAGTTCGGCAAAATAACTATTTCATAGCTAACTTCATATTCAGGTTCATTGTTGTCAAATCCTCCTTCGATACCTACAAACATAAAATGAGAGAAGTTCAACAAATGTACAACTATGAGAATACGAACAAGAAGAATTGCAAAATACTAGCGGGGAGCCACTTAAGAAAAGTAATTACTGAGACCCACACAAATTTAAAAAGGTAACAAGCAGTCTAACACTAAATCTAACACAAAATCCTTAACCAGCTAGGTATCCTAAACTATGGGGGACACTATGCACATCCCATAGTTGATGATTGATGAAGGATGCTAGAAAATAATGTGCTCAGTTTTTCCACTCCTTTTCTGCCAATGCTACTTTCCTTGTTTCTTGGGTTAGCACTCGATCAGTGTTTTAAAATGCGTAATGCTTGGCAATGCGTGGAGCCCAAGCTATGGGTTAGGCGAGCTTAAGCGAGGTATATGCGAAAAAAAGAGTAAAAATACATTTTTTTCTATTTTAATATTATTTTAGTTTTTAATCAATCAAAAAATCATTTAATAATTAAAAATAATACATATGAAACAACATTTAAGTTTTAACTTAAAAGAATTATAAAAAAAAAAAGATAATAATGTGCACTTTGACGCACATAATCGCGCCTAGGCACACATTAGCGGTCAACGATCGTTGACTGCTAAATAAGAGCCAAGCCATCGCGCTTCGGCGACACCTAGGCGAGCCTTTCTGAACACTACACTCGATGAGAGTATACTCTTATTTCTACCACTTGGCAGATTAAGATGTGCCAATTAACAGCTTGCGTCAAGTCACAACACCACATCAAATTCAGTCAAGGGTATCTAGGAGCTATTAAAGTGGCAAATTCACAATTTTGGTTTTTTTTCTTGCAAAGCAGAGAAGGTTAAAGAGCAAACATTAAAAATAGTCATTGCACATAAGATGAAAGAACTTAACGTAAATTCAAGGACATTTATACTCAATACCTATAGCCAGGAGAGTTGGTTTTTTGGAAGGCCTGTCCTCGGAAACTGGCTTTATTGTCTCCTTAATATGCAGATAAACTGGGTTTCCAGTCTTCTCATAGTTCCAACCTACATAATCCTTACCAAATGCAAGAAAAGAATTCATATCCACAAACAGTCCACCCTCTGATTTCTGCAAAATCAATGTGAAGCTATAAATAAATAACATTAACCAAAAAGCAAAGTTAAGCTACTAAAATTATAGTCACCGTAGTCCATAATAACAAGAAATTCTAAATTCCAGCGTCATCAGCATCAAATAATTATAAACTCGGTATGAATATATGTTCGAAAAATAAAAAATGTGTGAATAAATACCGGCGTCTCGAAAGAAACACAGCATTCTTGCTTGTAGATGCGATTTGTCGGTTCGGGTATCCGAACCCGCGAAAGAGACGATCGGAGCAGCTCCATCAGAAATTTAGATTTCAATGGGGAAAGGGCGATGAAGGAAGAAGATTGATGAGGTATATATTCTTTGCCCTAACGTTTAGCAAAAGCGAAGAAAAGCTCTTGAAATGGTTTTGCTTTAAAGTCGGTCTACTCACTCTCACTGACTTCTGTTGCTTGACATTATAGTCGCGTTTTGAATCTGGACTTTGGTTTAAATGGTAGTCGCGTGTTACGGAATCAAAAACGTGTTTCTTTGTATGGACATTATTTTATGAAAATCTCATAGAAATTACTGTGACAATGTCGATCAAAATCGTACAGTAGAACAAAAAAAAAAAAAATACCAATAATGTGTCGAGTAGGTAATTATATCTCAACTAAAATACTACAACTACTAATTTTATAACTCTTTCTAATTTCATGGGAGCCTAACAAGAGCAAAGCACAATTCAACACCAATTCGAATGGCCCACGATTGCAGTACATTTTTAGGTTCAAGATTACTATTTTCCACGATTTTCAACCAATTTCCAATCGACGCATAAGATTTACTATGATTCCCAGTTCTTTTATTCATCGTCCACATCATTAACATCAATGTGTCTTTTTGTAGTAACGATTCGATTACACGAAATGTCATAGTACTTTTTTGACCTTTTGGACACCGTTCGGTGAGATGAGTCTTCTCATTCTCATTCAAAAAGTCCTCTCTTATTCGATTGACAAGAATTAGAAGTCGGCTCTCTTTTTATTTATAATATATCACTTTCGTAGAGCATCTTCAGTATCACCAACTTTTCATGCGAAACTTCTCTTTCTCCAGCCCACTTTAAAAACTCATTCTTGAATTCTAGTGGCAATGGAGGCGGTGTCTCTTGGCAATGATCCACGCGCATTCTTCTTTTCTTGGTAGTACACATTCTTTTATATATTTTCGTCTCTTGTTCTGCAACTGAAAGCAATGCACTCCATTTCTTACGGGGTTTATCGATACAGTTCATATATTTCAATATTAATTTCCTCATCACAATCTTGTTTTCCACAATTCAATGAAAATATAGCAATGCACTCCATTTCTTAGGGGTTTATCGATACAGTTCATATATTTCAATATTAATTTCCTCATCACAATCTTGTTTTCCACAATTCAATGAAAATATGTAATATGAAAATTTGAAGAAACGAGTTTACGAAAGAATGTCTCGTAACTAAGAATTATGAGAATCCAATCAATATGGTGTATATTTATTTATCTTCTATATATTAAAAGTGGTTATGTAACGGAATTTTTTGTTTTTAACGGAAAAACTAACGAAATTTGTTGTTTTAACGGACTATGTAACGGAATTTCTTGTTTTAAACAGGCAGCTGCACTTTCATTCAGTATTTTTATGATAACTTTGTATTCCGATATCCGATTGAGGCGATTCAAAATGCGTTGGAAAGCTAACTCATCTGGCTACAACTTTGATTCATACATCATTCTCCAATTCGATCACTTTCTATGCCAAAAATAGGTCTCAATATGAGACTAAAA